TCTTCTCTTCTTTTCTTGTCTTTTTAGTGATCTTTTGCTTTCTTCATGGATAATGTTCTTGATATCTTCCCATAATTCATCTGGCTTTCAGTCATTGGTGTTCAATGCATCAAATCTATTCTTTAGATGATCTCTAAATTGTCTCTAAAGTGCAGTATTTTTTATTTTTATTTTTTCTTTCTCTTGGTCACTGACCATTCTACTTTTGAATTCTTAGGTCCATCTTTTCACCCAAGTCATATCTCTTTCAACCATTATACTACCCTAGGTTTTACCATTCTTTTCCTTCAAGTTATAATAATGTTTGATTCTTTCATCCTTTTAACTTCTCCATTCCCCATGAGCTTAAATGCAGTGGTAAAAGAAATGATCAATTATTTGGCTGCATAAACATTAAAATTTTAAATATATTAAACCAGAAGTAAAATTAAGCAAAAAATGGAAAACTAGAAAAAAATTTATAATAAATATGATAGATAAATAATTGATAAACATAATGTATAAAGACCTATAGATTCTTAAGAAGAAACCAATATATTATAATATCATGATAGATAATATATATGAAACAGTACTAATGTGAGAAGATGCTTATGTTAACTGGAAAATCATGATGCAAAACTGTGTAAATATCTTTATCACCACTCCGATAAAATAGAAAATTTAAGAAAATGGAAAAAATGTACATCAAATGTTCAGAGAAATTTACTCTCAATGGTGCGATTTAAAGTTATGTTATACTTTAACTTTGAATATTACTCGGCTTTGCACATTTTCTTTAATGAGTACCTAAGACTTTCATTATTAAAAAAGAATGAGTCTCCTCCTTGTACTACTGCCTTTTCCCTCCTTCTTTATCTCAATAAAGTTTCCATGGAGAATAATCAGCACTGGTTCCCTGTAATTTATTTCCCATTTTCCATTTTTTCTGCAACAAGTTCTATCACACCTTTGTAACTAGCATGTCACTAGAATTCCTGATATAAAGGTCCTTTATGGTCCATGATTTCCATTTTGTATGACTTTTCATAGGTCCACACAGTAATTCCACTTGACATTACTGAGCATTTCCCTCTTGATTTTTTTTTCCCCTGGCTTCTAGCCTAACCCTCTCTCTCACTCTAACTCTGTCTTTTACACTCTCTCATTCTTTGCACCTTAAATGTTGGTTCCCTTGTGTTTGTTATAAGTCCTCTTTTCTGCTTATTCTATTTCTTGATCAAATGCAAATTGCCCAAACTCAATGATTTTTGCTATCATCTCCAACCTGAGTCCCCCCATTTTTTTTTTATCAAACACAGACACTTCATCTAAAGTAAGGGCCTGAATATGTCTACCTCTATAGTCTATGGAAGGAGCTCTGGTGGTGTAGTGCCTAAGGCACTTGACTGCTAACCAGAAGGCTGGTGGTTCAACCCACCAGCCTCTCTTCAAAGGAAGTTTGGGCAATCTACTTCCGTAGTGATATCGCCTTGGAAACCCAAGGAGGGGTCGCCATGAGTCAAAATGTACTTGGCAGCAGTTTGGTTGGTTTATAGTCTATGGATAGCTCTTAATCAGAATAAACAAAATTTTTAAAGATAGCTTCTCATTCTCTGTTTTTATTTATTTAATTAATTGTTTAAGGCAGCAAGAGAAAGTTGAAAGAAGAAATACAGAAAACAATAAATACTATTTGTTGTTGTTGTTGTTATTTGCCATCGAGTCGGCCCCGACTCCTAGCGACCCCTCCTTGGGTTTCCAAGGCAGTTATCACTACGGAAGTAGGATTGCCCAACCTTCCTTCCGAGGAGTAGCTGGTGGGTTTGAACCGCCAGCCTCCTGGTTAGCAGTCAAGTGCCTTAGGCACTATGCTACCAGAGCTCCCAAATACTAACTATAGGGACTGCTTTTACTTTTCTCTCATCAGGATGCTTGTATTTGAAAATTATAGTACCTAAGGAGGCAATCATGGTTGCCCTTCCATCCCATGTGCTAAAGCCTTTATGTCTATAGACATAACACAAATCCTAGTAATATGATATCCAAAAAGATGCCTTAATGAACACAAAACCACTCAAAAGCAGTAGGAAAAGCATATTATGAACAAGAACACATTATACAATGGAGATGCAATAAAGTATATTTAGCAAACGCAAAGCTTTTAGCTTTCAATAGGTAAATCTATTTTAAGCTGTTACTTCAAAACTATTAGTAAAATCTTGAATGAGTGGAAGGAAAAGAAGAGTTCAGCCAAATAGAGTGTGTGGGTATTTGAAGTTTGAGAACTTACTGGCACGTACACAGAGAGAGAAGAGAAAGGGGATTTAACAGCCGGCAATTACCTACGGTAAAAATAATGCTTATATTATTAACGCTGTAAATAGAAAGCAGGCACTCTTATTTTCCAGCATGTCTTAAGTGACAGGAAAGGACATGAATGTTCCCTTAAATTACTTCACTTCCTCAAGACATCATGGTGTAAACACTATACAATGTTTCAGAATACCATATATATCCTGTCCTAGAAATACAGGAATTATTCTCTGGAAAAACAGTAAGCATTCTATGTAAAATGCTCAAGAGTTATCTATTTTAAATGTGATGTATCTAGGACAAATTCTTAGTCATCTTCATATTTGTTGTGGAGAGCTCAGAAAGAAAATACTGCTTTAGAAGAAAATAATAATATAACCACAAAGGTAAAATATTGCCCAGATTTCACACATACATAGAGATAAAATTCTTCCTTTTTAAAACTAATGCATACTGTAATGTTATATAGGGAAATTATTCATGTGCCTTAGGGTTACAAGCTCTCATTCAATTCACAAAAGCTTTTCCTGTTTAAATTATAGGATCATCCATAAAAATGGCTACAGTGAGCAAGAATGCATGGAATTTAAAGCTGTCATTTACAGTAATACGCTGCAATCCATCCTATCCATTGTGAAAGCCATGACTACTCTGGAGATTGATTATGTAAATCCCAGAAGTGCAGTAAGTATGCAAATGTAACTAATGGCGATTGTGTGATCAACAACAGAGCGTGAGCTCTTAAACTACGTGAGTTAATAAATTTGTAGTCCTAATCTATACTAAAAATTTAAGAATATGAAATATGTGTTTTGGAACTATTAATTTTATTATTGTAAGCTTTTCCTATTTTCCTTTAAATGAAACTTTTCTGAGTGTGTACCAAAAACTTAATTGTTTTCCTAGAGGTCAACCCTAATATCAAAAAACATGCTACATTAAAGAAAAATAGTATTTCTTTTTTTTTTTTTGTGAAATAAAATTGTTTATTGTATAAAATCTAAGCTGCTATATCTCTCCATTTGTTTTCTTACTTTAATTATTAGTCATTCCATGGACAACTTTTTTCTTTTAGTTTTTAATAACACAGCAATTTTCATTAATGTTCAAATAATAAATGCAAACACGCCACAGCAACAATGAAATGTTCCTTATATAATGTTAATTTTTAAGAAAAGGATTAAAAAATATGTGATTAATATAAAATGATTTGTTTTAAATATACAAAGTAGTCATAGTTTTGGTCATAATGTAAAATCTAATTTTTTTCCCCTCTATTTTATATTTTTTGCAATGCAATTACTTTACTCTATAAAAATCACTTTATTTTAAAACAGTATATGGGTAAACATATAAAACTATTTTAATTGGCAAATGTAACAGTATTACCTGAAGAACATTAACTGGCCCCACACAAACACAAAGATTATTTAAGCACAAGAGGAGCCCTGGTGGCACAGTGGTTATGTGCTCAGCTGCTGACTGAATGGTCTTCAGTTCAAACCCATCAGCAGTTCCCCAGGAGAAAGATGTGACAGTCTGCTTCCATAAAGATTTACAGGCTTGGAAACTTCATCACACAGTTTTACCCTGGCCAATAGTGTCGCTGTCAGTCAGAATCTATTCAATGACAGGGGATATTTGTGCACAGTCCACAGGAAGAACTCACCTATTTCCATATATTCCCTCCAGGAACAGTTGGATACTTCCAGCAGATGTCAACTGAATTGTTCCCAATGTAATCCTTAAATACCCTGTTATATGAACAATGGAAGTAGAGCAGCGTAGTAAGCACAGAGAAGATGGTCACATTCATACCTGTCCACACCCAGACCTAAGGGTTAAATCATGTGAATCACCATTGGAAGTTACTGGGGGTAAAAGAAAATGCTTTTTGATATGAATAACTCTAAAGGAAAAGGGTAAATCCTCACTGGTCCTAGTACTTTCATTTTCATAACAATGTTAAGTATGTCCTCAGGGCAAGTAACTTGGGAAGTAGAGAGCTAGAGGTCAGCTGGGCTCTCTTTCCCCAACAACAACTGTGTCGGCTGGTAAGTCACCTATGTCTTGAGGGACAGTTTCCCCTCACCTGCAAAAAGAGGGCACTTGGAGCAGCTGAACTCTAGATCCGTTCCTTCTCCACCATTGTATGACTAAGTCATCCTGTTCTTTATGGATAATTTAGATCTCTCTCTGACCCCAAGCTTCTCCTAAGAAGCTAGGATTTTAAAGTGGCTCTTAAGAGACAATCTGATTCAACTCACTTATTTCAAGAGGAGGAAAATAAAGTGCAGAGAAGATGAGCAATTTGGTTTGTGTTAAACAGTTAAGAGTTTAGGACAAATCCCACTTCTAATGTCTTCCATATATGGTGGCTTTGTCTATGTAAGTGCTTCTAATGATTAGCAATATTTCATTTATTTTCCTTCTTGAAGGCTGTGGTAGTTAAGGTTATATGTCAATTTGGCTGGGCCCAGTTTTGAGTGGCTGGGCAGCTGGATATAATTATCCCCCATGATGGGACTGGTGATCAACTCCGTGGTGGAATCTGCTGTGAGCAGCTGAGTGGCTGCCTCAGGCATGTGGTCTGCTTCCTGTATATAAAAACAGCTTTGAGAAAGGTCTATGAGCTTTTTGGCATGCTTGGACCCTGCACTTAGCCAAATCTTCACTCAGCAACCTACCATGTTGCCTGCTGATCTTGGGACTGTTTCTGTACTTGAACTAGTGACCTGCCATGTTGCATGGTAATCTTGGGACTTTGCTATTTTACTTGTCCACCTTGGGTTTGTCAGCCTCGGCAGCCAGCAGCTGCCTG